ATGATAATTAATTTATTATTTGATTTGTCTTGACGTCAACTTCTAAATTAAAAAACTAACATAAACATGGTATTCGTGTTATTAAAAAACTAATTTATATACTAATATAATAAATTATTATTTTAATTAACTATTTAAGTACAAAATTTTCATTAATATTTAAAAATAAAATTCCAATCTAATATTTTAATTAAAGTTATTAAATCTTGCTCTTATAAGTCTCGGTTGAGCCCTAATTCGAGTCACGCGACTTCTGCTTCATCTACTGCACGCACACAAGTTCTGACTTCGGCATGGCTCGATTTAAGCCATGCAGAATTGCTCATCTTATTCCCTCACACGAAACTGTGCCTCCTCTGCACATAGTTGCTTGTTCTTCTCCTCCCTTCTTCCTCTCAACAGTGCTGCTCTTCCCCTCTCTCATTCTTCCAGCGCGCAAGAACTCCCACACTCTCTCCCTTCATTGGACAATAGTAGCACCGCCTCCTCGGCTCAACAATGATGCAGCTCCTTCGCTTCTTCTTTCTGTCGACAACACGGCCCCAGCAATGCAACCCTCAACGTGGACGTTTGACTCTCCTGATAAGTTCTAGTCTCCCTCACAAACAACTTATAAGACGAACTCATACTTTTAGCTTTCAATCTCTTCGCTTCATCTCCCCTCTATTCATTTTCCCCGAATACTCGTTTTTCATTCTACGATTCTTCTCTTTATCTCCCCTAGGTAACCGAAAAAGGGACTATTACACTCTTGCCCACTTACAAAAAATTTCATCCTCAAAATTTATAAATAGATCTCAAGCAACTCAACATTAATTATTCATGAAACTAGAGTCATTCATGAAAAGTAATCACTATAAAGGTAAAGACTCGATACAAGGTGACTCAATTATACTTTGGATAACAATACACAGATAGTGAAACAAGAAAGCATGCTAGAGAATACGAGAAACTCATCAGACTTCATCACCTTCAGCAGCAGTATGTTCTTCAGACTCACTTTGAGTAAGGGAATAAACTTGAGGTCGAACCAGTTGGCTTGGTTGACCTTGGGTAGGAGCTGAAGCTGTAGACCTTTTTTTTGTCCAATAGCAGTCTTTTGTGAAGGAGCTTCACCTGATTTCTGATCTTCACCGCTCTCCTAGCTAAGAGATGGACAATATCTTACTATATGACTAGGCTGACAACACTAAAAACAAGTGTCAAAGTCCATCAAGTATTCACCTTTATGTTTTCTTCCACATTTGGCGCAAGTGACTACTATACCTTTTGTCGTACTTTGCTAACTCCACACGAATTGTTCTTGGACTTCTTCCCATTGGATCCCTCTAATTGATCCACATGCTCGTCTGCAGTCTTCCTCTTGTGCATCTATTTACGCTTCTGAATAAGTTGATAGTCAATTTTCACTCTTCTAGCTCGTTTCATTAATATTGAATATTCATCGATCCCTAAAAGCACTAACGGCTGTTTGATCGAATCTTTGAATCCCGAAATGAATCTGTAGCAATTTCTTCTACAGTAACAATCAACAGTGTGGCACACCTCCACAATGCAAGAAATTTCACTTTATACCGAATGATTGTCTTCTCTCCTTGCCTCAACTTGATGAACTGTCTTGCATCTATCTTCAAGCGAATAGGGGTACAAATCATTTTCTGAATAACTCCACGAATTCCTCCCAACTAACCATCATATTAGATATTTCCCTAGCTTGTCTTGACGTTGCCCACTCCATCTTTCGGCCTCTCCATCCAGCACAAACGTCACCAACAGTACTCTTCTTTTATTAGGACAATTCAAGCTATCTAGTATATTCTCTATCCACATTAGTCAGTTCTCCGCTTCAATTGGGTCAACATTTCCCTTGAACAAAGGTGGACGCAGATCTTGAAATATTTTCAAGTATCCACAACAACTGTATCACTTCCAATAAGCTGCGATCTAGACTCTTGAATCAACTGAGTCATCACCACCATCATTTATATGAAGACATTCATGGTCACACTAATAATAGGTTGTATTTCTTCATTTTCTATCAGATTCTCAACTTTTATGATTTCAAGTGTATCATTATTCCTGAATGGATAATAATTATTACTTTGAGTTAACTTCAATTTTTTTAATTATTAAAATTTTCTTATAATTATTTTATTATTTCTTTCATCAATATTTCATTAATTAATTCTAAACTTTGAGCTTTGATACCACATTTGTCGTGACTTGGCCCAGGTCTTAGAATTAACCAAGACAGGAACAGACAATCGGGTGGTGTGAAATTAATTTTTTTATATTCATCTACAATTTAACAGATGAAAGAGCCTCTAAATCAAATAAATCAAAATATAATTAACTCATTACTGGTTATCAGCATCTTTTATACACATTTTCTCTTCTTTTATTCATTTTTAATCAGTTAAATTAAATTAAAAAGTTTATTTAAAATAACTATGAACTAAACGAGTCAGTAAATAATCACACTCTTAAACTACAGTAATACATGTAAAAAGAAAGCAAAATACATATTAGTTAAAATTTTAATAACTAAATATAAATATTTAACATACTTATTCAATGAATCTTACAATATCAATATCATACCAATATCAATTTATATATGTACAACCATCACAGGAGAATTGTCTAAAAATTGTACCATTTAAGGTAATTCAACATCAATATCCATTTCCATAAACGTGTACGACTACCTTAGTATTCCCCCACTAATACATCAAAAAATAACTACATCAGAGTCAACCATGCACATACAAGCATTCTATCAAAATCATTAATTACTAAAAATATGATTCATTCTCATTTATGTATCAGACAATATACTTATAAATCATTTAAATAAAGTTAAGAACATATCATTCATACAATATGAACAAAAATTTACTAAAATTCAAAATCATGAGTTTGTAGTAATTTCAATATAACTATGATTGTACCAATAAATGCAATTGTTCTAGAAGAAGCAAAATATAACAATAGTATAAGAACAAGTGTACACACCTCGATTAGGATTAATTTATTATTTGATCTGTCTTGATGTCAAGCTCTAAATTGGAAACCTAACATAAGCATGATATTCATGTTATTAGAAATTTAATTTATATACAAATATAATAATTTATTATATTAATTACCTATTTAAGTACAAAATTTCCATTATTATTTAAAAAAAATAATCCTTATTAAAAATCTTAATTAAAGATATAAGTCTCAATTGAGCCCTAATCCCAGTCACGCAGCTTGTTCTCCTTCATCTACTACACGCACACGAGTTATGACTTTGGCATGGCTTGATTTAACCCATGCAAAGTTGTTCCTCTTATCCCCACAACACACGAAACCACACCTTCTCTGCACAGAGTCGCTCGTTCTTCTCCTCCCTTCTTCCTCTCAACAAAGCCACTCTTCCCCTTTCTCCTACTTCGAGTGCGCAAGAACTCCCGCACTAACCCCCTCCTCTTTACGACAGTGGCACCGCCTCCTCAGCTCAACACCGACATAGTTCCCTTGGCTTTTTCTTTCTGTCGGCGTCATGGCTCAACCCTAGCAGTGCAACCCTCGACATTGTCATTTGACTCTCCTGATAAGTTTTTGTCTCCCTCACAATTTATAGAACAAAGTCGTCTTTTTAGCTTCTGATCCTACCGCGTCCTCTCACCTCTGTTCATTTTCTTGACTCGTTTCTTTTACGGTTCTCCTCTTCGTCTCCCACGGGTAACCGAAATGAGACCGTTACAGATAGCTTATTAAGCAAATGATTTGAATAGTTTCAAAATGATCACTTTGATCGCTAGAAAATCTCAAACTTTCACAGTCTAAGCTTTTGAAATGCATACAAATTTTTAGAATGTAGCTCTTGTTCAGTCATGCACAACTACTGTCACTTAAGAACGTACAGTTCATATCTTTCATGAACAATCTAATTTATGTTTCTCCTTGGAAGCCAAGAAGATAGCAGTCCAGTGCAGAAAGTACCACAATGATGGTGTTAACAATTTGAGTTGCAGACTTTCCATGCTGCCTGTATAATTGTATAAGGGAAATTTACAAACATACCACAATTCTTATGAATTTACATATCTAACTCCTAAAGTTTGATATTTACATTTATAGCAAATTGGTGTCATAAACCTATGCATAAAAAGGAACATTTCACTTTTAAAAGTTAGTAAAGTGGTATGTTTTTATGTTATGTTAATGATTTGAGTGTCATGAATGTAAGTATTGAAGTTTAGGTGTAGGATATGTAAATACAAAAGAATTGTGTGGTATGTGTGTAAATGCCCCAATTGTATAATACAGCAGAAACTAGAGAGCTCTTGCAGTCAAACACCGAACACCACATGGGACTGCTTGATCAGCACGGTGGTTGTTCATTTCCTCAAGAACAGCGAACTGTCAATCATAACAGGTTGGATTGGGATAAATAAACTAAAACTGTGGTGCCTCCATCCCGACATTCAAACCTTATATTATGAAAATGCTTTCTTAATATATATTTCAAAATCAGTAGAAATGCTAAAGCTTGTTGTTAGCAAGTTGGATTGAATGTAACATGAAGGACTAAGAATGTAGATTCATTTTCATAAGATTCTAGCAAATAGAGGTTAGAAAACTCATCAGCACCCAAATTTTACAAACAGAAAAATCACCGGTTGAAATTCATTAATTATGGGAAACGAAGTGCACAGACAAAACTTTAAATTTGCAGATTACATTCCTCATAGGTTACAAGCAGCACAAATAAAGTAAAATTTAAAAATTTAAACGTATACCATCCAAATAGGAAAATCATATATCAAAAAGTAACTTCTAAAATTTGTCACTTTTGTTCACTGAAGCAATTAATGCAAGCAGATTTGCAGAAGAAAGATGATGTGCAAAACCGTAACAAGGTAAAATGAACAAGCAAAAAATAGATAATACATTACATATTTACAAGTTAACAAAAGAAATGAAAAACTATCTAAGTCAGTATTACTTACCTTCAAGGCTAGTAAAAGCAGAAATGTTTCAACAGAATAAAATCCTCGATCAACAAAATCACCTAAAAACAAGTAGTTTGTCTTTGGACAGTCACCGCCAACTTTAAATAATTCATTCATGTCATAGAACTGGCCGTGAATGTCTCCACAAATCTAAATCAAAGCAAAGAAAGAATTCAGAATACAATCAGACAGTTATACAAATACTTAAATACTGCAATTACTTGAGGCTTGTAAATTACAGTATGAGCTTAGGTGCATCCATTGGTTTGATGTCATTTTGGCCAAGAAACTCAAAATAAACGATCACCAAAACAGATTTTACTAATGATGTAAAGCTGTAAGAATTAACCCTTTCCTAAGCCTGCACCAGGCAAGAAGAGCACATGCATTACACCCGTTCCTACTCATTACACGGCATGCATCTTTGTATAGGCGTTGAAATTTGGAAACATAACTGTAATACCAAAATTTTGATAAGATGCCAGTAAAAAATATTAAAATAAATAATACCTTAAATTTCAATTTTCTAAAAAAAACACCAAAAATTACTTCATTGCATTCAACTCTTCAGATGATCATTTTGATATGCATAACTATAGGCTAATTCTCAAAGAGGATGAAGCTATTAAACATGCTTTGGTATTGATAAAATTTTCATGAAGATCTTAATTAAATTTTCTGTTCCGGTATGTAGCTGTAGTGGAATTTATGATTTTCACCTAACCGTGCGTGCATCTGCTGATGTTTAAAGGCATGATTGGGATTAAAACTGATTAAGTGATGTTAATATATGTATATAATATAAGTATATTAAGGTTTCTTTCCTTTTTCCCATCCTGTATTACCCTCATTTCCGGAAATCTACAACCTGTGAACAGTAGAGACGGGAAACAGAGAGTTGGTTACATGTTGGTTCTGAGAAAAGAAGAAGAGAGAAGAAAAGAAAATGAGGACAAGAGGAAAGAAAGGAAAAAAGACAATGTAAGAAAGTGAGTCCTGAGTATTTTGATTTAAATTTGGAATCTTGGTTAATCTTATAAATGAATTGATTTCTAAACGGGGTGGTTGTATGTTTTAAAACTTGTTTGAGGAAAGATAATATTGCAATTATTTACAAAAGGAAGAAATTTAGGGGGGTTCATTTTGAAAAGGTAAATGGTCAATTGAGTAAGATTTAAAAATTCTAATACTGAAAATGGCATTCTTATAATCTTTTGATGTGTAATTATATGAAAAGTTGATGGTTGCAATGCAATATAAATTTCATATTGCAAAATTTATTTTTACATTTTACTATTCATGTGCAAATGCTCACATAAGAATTTTGTTAATACAAACTCAAAATCAAATACATTTTGATTGTACAAATGCTTTATTAGTTAATGATATTGTTAAAAAAACATCTAATATTTTTAAGTTGCTCATTTACCGGTAGATTTATTTAATATGTTTTAAGAAGAATCACATATTTATTGAAATATTTAATTACGTAAATTTATGAAGCTTTAAAAATGTTATATTATTATACAGACGTGTTAGTAATGATTTGTTTATGATATTTGGGCTGATGGGGCAAAAGGGCCTAAAATATAACAACAGGGTATATGTATAAAGGCAAAAGAGTCCTCAATATAGTTCAATAGTAATAATGATGGGCTCAACCTAAACTCTATTGAACTTGATAATGTAGCCTTCTAGGTAATTATGATGGTCAATAACCTAGATAATCATACATACAAATTCTGAAACTAAGATGAAATATGATATAACAAGAGATAAATAAGTTTTAAAAAAAAAAATTGATACATTTAAATTACCTGGACACTTATACCATTATCTCTTGGTACAGATATTACAGTATACATTTTATGTATTCACTATTATAATGATGTAGGATCACATGTACTCATTCTATGATTATGCCTTTTCATGATTAGCACATATGTTGTTTACTATTATTTAGTATTTAAGTTCTATATTAGATTTATTTATTTTGCTGAATCTTATAACTTATTAGATTGTCATAGCTATTTCTAAAGAAAAAGGAAAGAAAATGTCAAAGCGGAGTAGGATCATGCTCATTTTTTGGATTATGTTTTGATGTACAACCATTCCAAAATAGAGTTTGAGGCAAGTGGACAAATAAAATGTATACTATTGTGAACCTCTAGCATTTTGAGATTTTATATGCTCTATAGATATATTGAATGATAGATTTTGGAGTTCTTCTGTTTAATTTAAATAGTTGAGTTCATTAGATTTGCATAAAATGGTGTAATACATTATATTTGTTTTACTATCTCATACACTATTATGGTGAATGGGATGCCAGAATGAGTGTTGGAAGGATATTCAACCAACTAAACCACACCCACCTCTATCATGTTCCATGAAGACTGGTGGAGAAGGTCATCATGGGGGCGTGATAAAAAGTAGTATCAAATCAATTCAATCCTAAAAAATAATTATAAAAACTTGATTAATTTTAGTTTTTGAAGGAAAATACGTTTAATGTGATATCATTACTACAAAGCATAATTGGGTGCAGTTTGTCTAGGAAGTGGCAGACACTATAACATTGCGATGCATGTTTTATATAATATAAAATATATTACTATTTTCTATGAATATTTAAATATATATTTTATGATATAATAATTTATTGATAATACGACTAAAAGAAAATTTGAAAGAACTAAGAGCCAGTCAGCACAACCAGATAGAATAGTTGAAAATCTTAAGAATATTACAAACGTTAACGATAGTAAAGCTTAAACAAAAAAATATGTCAGTGGCGTCAAATCCTACTATTAGGATATTAGGAAAAAAGATGCAACTTCTTTTAGGAAAAGACGATACAGATGCTAGAAAAAATGTTGTCTTTTGAAGCACCTATTATGCCACAGCAACAACACAAGCCAAACTTAGTGTCAGGACTAGCATCAATGTGAACATAGATAAATATTTGTAATTACTTTAGAATTTAAAATCACTTCGATGTCAAAACTATTGACGATTGGATTTCTTAGAATTGAAAATATCTTAATGCCCAAGTGATAGAAGAGTTTCTATAGTGGTATATGTACTTGACGATGAAGCTGAACTTTGGAAGAGATGCCAACACTTGGAGAAGTTTGAAGGCAGAACCAAGAGCCAATTTACTTGAGATGAGTTCAAGCAAGTCTTAAAGGATTAGTATGTCTCTCCTTCTGCAAGACATATAATGTAAGAGAGTTCTATAAATCTGATTCAAGGGGCAAAGAAAATAGTTCAGTATGAAGTAGAATTTACATTTTTATCAAAATATGCTCCACAACTTATCAGTGTTCAAGAGAGAGGACAAATTTTTTAGACAATTAATAGATCAGTTAAGACACCCTTGATTCCCCTACGTATCAAAAATTTTGTTAAGTATGTGAAAATCGTCAGACTCCTGAACCGAGACATGGAGATGATAAGGTAAAATGGGAGATTGATAACAAGAGATCATTAAAAATCAAAAATGGACAATTTGAAAAGCATAAATTCACTTAAAGGACACATCCACAACATCAATCAGGAGGACAGCAATTGATACCAATCGGTACTACTTGTGAAAAATCAAACTCAAAAAAATATTTGTTGAATTCAAAAAGATATTAATTAAGTGATGAGTTAGTCTTTATCAAGAGGCGTTGTCCTAAAAAAATCCAGAGAGGAAGAGAATTGAAAAAAAAAATCTAGATGCCAAAGCAACATAGAGGTATGAAACGTATGATGCATAAGCCACATTGAAAAATAAAGGAGACTCATTAACAAAAAATAGAAGATTCGATATCAAATCAAGTTTTTGCTTTGGCATCTTAGGAGGCTAGAGGATTTTCAGAAGTTGTGACATATATGATTATCATCTCAAATATTCTAACTATTGGAGAAGTTTGAAGGCAGACCCAAGAGCCAATTTACTTGAGATGAGTTCAAGCAAGTCTTAAAGGATTAGTATGTCTCTCCTTCTGCAAGACATATAATGTAAGAGAGTTCTATAAATCTGATTCAAGGGGCAAAGAAAATAGTTCAGTATGAAGTAGAATTTACATTTTTATCAAAATATGCTCCACAACTTATCAGTGTTCAAGAGAGAGGACAAATTTTTTAGACAATTAATAGATCAGTTAAGACACCCTTGATTCCCCTACGTATCAAAAATTTTGTTAAGTATGTGAAAATCGTCAGACTCCTGAACCGAGACATGGAGATGATAAGGTAAAATGGGAGATTGATAACAAGAGATCATTAAAAATCAAAAATGGACAATTTGAAAAGCATAAATTCACTTAAAGGACACATCCACAACATCAATCAGGAGGACAGCAATTGATACCAATCGGTACTACTTGTGAAAAATCAAACTCAAAAAAATATTTGTTGAATTCAAAAAGATATTAATTAAGTGATGAGTTAGTCTTTATCAAGAGGCGTTGTCCTAAAAAAATCCAGAGAGGAAGAGAATTGAAAAAAAAAATCTAGATGCCAAAGCAACATAGAGGTATGAAACGTATGATGCATAAGCCACATTGAAAAATAAAGGAGACTCATTAACAAAAAATAGAAGATTCGATATCAAATCAAGTTTTTGCTTTGGCATCTTAGGAGGCTAGAGGATTTTCAGAAGTTGTGACATATATGATTATCATCTCAAATATTCTAACTAGAGCACTATTTTATTCTTGAATATCACACTCTTTAATTTCTGAGTTGATTGTGATAAATTATATTTGGAACTTGCTTTTCTTACTTCGGGTGTCAAAATTATATTGGCATATGGTGAATGCATATTAACTAACACTTCTTGTTCTATATGTATATTGTGATTACTGATCATATATTTAGGTATAATTTAATATTGTTATCTTTAACTGAGTTTGAGGTAACTTTGGGCAAAAATTGATTAACAAAATACTCGCCATTATAGAGTGCTAGAAGAAAAGATGAATTTAATCAGTCGAATGATAAGTTGTTCTACTTCTGATGTGAGAAATAAGTAATATCATCTTTAATCAATTCAATTAAAGTAAATAAATATATAAAGACAAATAAAATAATATGTTCGGCTGAATTGGAGGCAATCAGAGTTCCAATTACTAATATGAAGGTTATTCTTATGATAAATG